AGAGTTGCGGAAGGAGCATGGAAGCCACTGTCACCGCCTCTACCGGCAGGGTTCGCCAAGCCTCAGAGGGAAAGGGAGGAGTACCAGCCAAGGCCGTTGAGATTCTGAGATGTAGATCCCATACTTCCGTTTCCCAGCAGCTGCGGCAGGACATCTGAGGCAGGGTGTGTCACAAACAAGGCCACATCATGAGAAGAATTTAGAGGGACGGTGCCCCAAACGTGTTTTTGTGAAATCAGAAACCGAGCAGGATGACCACAAAACCACTGCCACCAACGTGGGTCCGAGTAAGCCTTCTGCTAGTTTCACAATGAAATCCCTGGGCTGTTTACTGAATGGGGTGAAACGATGCCTGTGACTCTATTTGCGTAGCATATACCTCCGGTATAGAGACAACAAGGCTCTGTGTAACATTTTGACTAAGTTCATTACTTAGAAAGAGACTTCTTGAATTATTTTTCCTAGGTGTTACCCTCTCTGGCCCTCAAACAAGCAGAACTACGTTTCTCTACTATTATGCAACATTTCCCTTTCTGGGATCTTTCCATAAAAGCTAAAGATGGTTCAAGGCCTTGATCAGGCCACTCGGTTGTGACCTGCAGACCTGAGGTGAGCAGCTAAGGGTATTGAATCTTGACCCCAAATATTCCCTTGTGTGACAGTAACTTTTCTCTCTTTCAATAATAACAACAGCCTATGCCTAAAAATAACAATACTCTGTACCTACAGCAATACCTATATCTTCAACTTGACAAATTTAAAGTTAAAAATTAAAATTCACTAGATTCTTAAGACAACTAAATAGTTCCATTTAAGACTAATCAATTGAATCCAATTTTTAAAAAGTGTATAAATTACTATAATGTACAAAGCATAGCAACAATGAAATAAGAGACTGCCAAAAAACATAGAATTACAATGTAAAATAAAAGCCAAAATATATCTTCATTTTAATTTTTATGACAGACAAGCTGACACAAACACACGTAACCACAGGAAAGAAGTAATTTTGATAAAAGGCTTCATAATAATCACAACCTATACCTGCACATGTGTTTAACACGAGGAGTAAATTTCTTAAAGGTAAATAAATAAATCAGTTGATTTTCATCTGAAGCAAGATCATGCACATGGAGAGATTCTGAGACCCTCCTGCTTCTCTTATCCCTAACCCATGCTGGACACTGCTACACTAATTTTTCAGAAGCCTACCTCTGAAGGCTGGCTAATACAATTACCACCCTCAATCTGTTCCTCCTTTTGTTGGAAAAGCGTAACACTCACTGTCCTTGTCCCCCATGCAGCTGGGGATGGCTGTGACCCAGTGTGGCCAGGAAGACATAAGCAGAAGGAAATACGCTGGCCACTTCTGGGAAAGCTTTTAATTCTTCACAAAAGGAACAGTCAAAGAGGGGGGCGCTGCCCACCTCCTCGTCTTTCTGATCATCACGCAGATGTAACGCCTGAGGTTGCAGCTGTCATCATTCTATTAAAAGGCAGCAAGCAAGAGGACCGAAAGCCAATTTGCCAACGGTGGCAGAATAGAGAGATAAAAAAGGCTTGCGTCCACGCTGGCCAGCTTCATTAATCTGCTAGAACAACTGAGTTCTCCCTCCTCTGAACTTGTTAAAAAATCTTATTTGTTTAAGCCATTGTGAGGTATTCTGTTACAGACGTAGCTAACTGGCAAGAGTTCTGTTATATGCACAGCTCAAAGTATTCCTAAGAAATCTACGTAACAGTTTCCTCCCAAAGCCAGTCTCCGCTCCTCAGCCTAACCACTTAAAGCAGCCTGGATCCAGCCTGTCCTCCCAGGGTGCCTGTCCTTGCTGGTATGTGCCGCAGTTTCCCACATCTGGGTTTTCCTAGCACACCCACCCCCGCGCACACATGCACGGAAACTCTCTGCCTCCTTTCCCATCACCTTGCCATTCCCTTCACAAGTCCTAAGTTTCTCTCTGTATGTCTACACTGTAAAAGTACCTAGAACACAGCAAGTATTCAAAACAAAGATGGGGAAATAAGCAGATAAGTGAATAAGTGATTTGTATTCTCTAAATTAGCATTTATATGTATTAGGCAATTTTAGAAAATACTGTGGGGTGTTTTTGTTTTTTACTATTTGCTGCAGTTTTAGACTCACACAGATGAAAAAATTAGCCCTTGGACAAAAATCTGTTTTTTTAAGTTAGTAAACAGGTTCAGTAAAAGATCTTAAATGACATTTCTCTTTACTTCAAAGTACAATCACTAACTACATGTTTTACAGTACTTGCAACCCTTGCAGAAGCAAAGTGCTCTACAATCATCAAGTGTCTCTCGCTCAAAAGGCTACGTAAAAATGTCATAACATTTACCAAAAACGAGCAAAAATGAGTAAGGGCATTATGTATTAGAACAGACAAAGCACACACAGAGGAGCCCAGTTAACAATAACTTAGATTAACATGAATGTCCAGATATTCTCCCAGCTCTTATAACGAAAGCCCGAGGTAGAGCACTACTCACAGAAAGGCCATAGGGGTAGCAGAGTGAATTCATGCTATTATGAGAGATACTTGAGCCTAGAATTAAACACAAGTCTACTTTTCCTCTAGGTTTCCCTTCATCTTAGCAGTGGACAAGAAAACTGCTCTAAAAGGAGATATCTGACTTCCTTTCTTGTGTTTTAAGCACTAAAACTTCTACAGTGTTGCTCTAAGAGACTAAATCAAATTCTCCTACTAGGCCTAATGCCAACACCCTCTTTCATAGGAAACAGGATCAGAAAATTATGATAACTGTGCATAAACAGTGTTAATTCAACTTTTCTGACTTTCTACATTTTACACACATACAAATGAAACCCAAGTTTCACCAAAATACCTCCCTTAGTATAGGCAATGTACTCTAATACTCTTTCTATTCTTTTCTTTAAAAAAAATCCTAATTAATTTCAACTTATCATAGGGGTTACCCATCAGTAGTCTTGTAATGGATCATCGTTTGAAAAACACAGATTTACACTTAAGTCTTATCAAGACCTGTAGGCATTTTCCCCAGAAGACAATTTAATACTCACAATAATAAACATGACATGCTTACAAGTTTCTGTGAGAAATGTACTCAGAAACTTGCTGCTTATTTCAATGTTGCTAATAAAGAAGAGAGGCTGATGTGTGTATTGAACCTGTCTCTGATGAGGTGACAGAATTATAAAGGGATGTTGTCACTGCTCATTATTTCTGTCACGGGAGGAGTAATAAGAAGGGTTAGACAGACAGATACCTCCCCACTTAGAAGCAGTCCCCTGGGTGTGCCCGTGGTTTGGCAGTGGGTTGCAGGCAAATTCCTCTGTGCTCTCCCCAGAGAAGCAGAGCCCAGAACTGCTCTAACAGGTGGAAGGAAGCAGCGCCCTTAGAGACCAGTGGGTGAACCTGACTGTGGCCTGCCAGCGCTGTCCTGTACAAGAACACGGCCCTAGCAGAACCTCCCTCCAGCGGCCTCTGCAGTGTGTCCTCACACTTCCATCTCATGGCTTATGAATGGAGGAAAAGGGAGCTTGGAAAAACAAGTTAAAAGTGTTCTAAGAAAGATAGAAGAATTAGTTTAATTTTTTTTTTTGCAAGAAGAAGAAACATTACCCTCCACACCCGACAAAATCTTAAATAAACTCCAACATACAGAACAGAGGTGCTGCACGTCGGGGGAAGATGCTGCAGAGAGCACCCTGCACACTCCTCCATCTCCCTTCTCATCTACCAGTCCCTTGGCTCCTCCTCAGGACCCTAGAACTCCCTAGAAAAGCAACAACACAATAATAACTAAGCACATTCAATGACTCTGACCTAAGGTAACACATAGCTGCACTGTCACATTTGTCATCTCCCAGAACCTTTGCTAGCTCCCCAGTTCTCCACATCTCCCCCACTACGGAACTTCCTAAAACTCCAGCCTGTGACCCGCCCCCAAGGACCTATGTGAAGCAGCATTTCTCAAGCTGTCACTCTAAGCCTGACTGTCATCCTTCTACCAAACTGATGGACCGTCAGAAATAAAAGAGCATCAGCCAAACCAGCTCATTCTTGCTTCTTACTGTCCACCACGTCTCTTATACGTGACAAAGCAAACCTATAACACTCTTCTGATAGCCACTTTAACAGAAAGTATGAGAAATGTACTCAGAAACTTGCTGCTTATTTCAATGTTGCTAATAAAGAAGAGAGACTGATGTGTATTGAACCTGCCTCTGACGAGGTAACAGAATTACAAAGTTCTAAGAAAGTGATGGAAGTATAAATTTTATGTTACTATAAAACTATGAAAACGTTTTAATATAGCTAAAGCTGAATTATTTCTTAATTCTTTTCTTCTAGCAAAGACTGGGAAGTGCTGGGAGTCACCAACCCTAGCAATGAGGAGGAGAGGTGGCTTCCTGTCACCTCTGGCTGGTCCAGTTAGAATGAGACACAATCGAAGGAATGTGGCAGGTGGAGGCGCAATGCTGGTGTAGCTATGCTTACCCCACGGTGTGCTAGTCTCTGTGGGAAAGGTGAAATGAATTATCTTTTTCCTAAAGAGACTGTCATTTATGTTTTTAAATCTGGGGGCTTTCTGAGAAACTAAACCCTTAGAGGAGGCTGACATTAAGTAATTTATCATGCTGAACAGAAAAAAGAACTGCTTCCACTAAAACAACACTGAACAGAGAACTAAAGGCGTAAGTGGAGACGAATCCCTTGGAAAAAGTTATTTGGATGGGACACAAATGGAAATCGGATAAGCTTAATAAGAAGCAAAGTCAAGAATCATTAGGTCTTATACTAAAAATACACTCTTTAAAGCCTCTTCCTATATGGGAATTCCTACACCCCCAATATGTGTAATTACTTATGATTCAATAATTACTTATTTCCAATAATTTCAAAACTCAACTCAAGCTGTTCACTATTTATTTTCTGTATGATTAGCACACGGACATAACTTTCAAAATGATGTCTGGTAATAGAAAAAAAAGGTACCTTTTCCAATTCTCTTGGTATTCGCATACAAGTGTACACTCTTTCTCTTCTTTCTGTATACTTGGCCTCATTATGTTCAAGGAAGTACCCTCTTGTTAGTTCAGCACTGAGGAACCTCAACAATGAAAGCTCTACAGGAAAAGAAAATGACACAAAACAAAAGAACAGTATTTATCAAGGAACTTACATGCTAGCTAGGGCCACAGGTAGTCATGCATATACAAACAACGAGAGAATCAAGTCATCTATAATTCTGCGTCCCAAACTGAACTACACATAAATCATTAGCAAAGATTGCTGAGAAAACTGCTGCTCTGTGTGGTATAAACTGAAAATTCCACAGAAATACAGAAGAGACAATTACTTATGAGCCAGAAGAGTCTGAAAAGTGTTTTGCAAGAGCCCAGCCCTGGGTCTCATAGTTTATATAGGACTATGAAGGCAGGTAAAAAGCGTACACAGCCAGTATATATAAAATGGATATATATATATATTTTTGGCTTTTTAAAGGAAGTCACGTCATCTAACAGGCATTACTTCAGTCCAAGAACTACATGGGTGAGCTACGTAGATACTGGTGTAATTGCCTCAGCCTCAGAGATCCTGCAAAGTGTCTAGATAATGCCAGTTGCTAGATTAGGGCTTACCAACATGATGCTACTCATAGTGCAGGGGGAAGAAGAGAGTTCCTCTACCCTCAAGGTTTTATCAGCTGCTCTAATAATCTATCAAACACGAGAAGGATGAGAGAGAGTAACCAGGGTCAATTACATACATATGCGTGGGAACCCCACCTGCATGAGAGGTTCAGAGATGCAAAGGGAAAATAGGGCATATATGATGACATTCTGAGCTGGGGTTCAGGTTAGGCACCTTGGGGCTTCAGAAGGTAACTCACATGTTCAGTAATTGTGTGTTTGTCCTGCTATGGAGATAGGTAAAAAGTTATTTCTGATGGCAGCTCATCATGGACCAGGCCCCTAATTTAAATCCTTCCAGATAGTTGGGGGGTGAGGTGGGGGGGAGAAGTTTCTCTTGAGCCCACATGGTCTTGGTTGCCTTTAGCTCAAAATAATCCACATACCACTGAGGTGCATCTTGGGCTGGCTCGTTCTGAACCCCTACAATAGTAAGTCATACAAAGTAGAACTTCAACCAGACCTGAAAGACCTCCCTTTCCCTGATCTTTCACTCGCCCACCTGTTTCCTCTGCTCCTCCACAGCAAATTCAGTCCGGCACTTGTCTCAGAGGAGGGAAGTAAGGCCAGGGGAGGCTGGCATTTCCCACTTGGCGACAACGGGGAGACTTGAGATGAGAAGCCAAGTTGTTAATGCCTGGTCTCGGCTATTTCCATCGTGTTACACTCCCTCACAGCCCATCGCCTCAGTGACCTCTCAGCACCCCTGATTTCACATACACCTCTCTCACTCCCTGGGAGGCTCAACTCTCCTCCAGAACCTGGGATACCAAAAGTTTCAAACTGCCCTCTTTGCCCTCAGCTGGCATTATGGTACTTTTACAAATGCAGTAGAGGTGTTCCTTCCCAAAAATTATAAACAGGGAAGGTGATTTCATGTGTGTTTATCTATATAAGGAGCTGCCTCTTATGTGAGTGCTAAGGTCTGCATGCATGAGGAAAAGAGTAGAGTCAAAAACACCCTTGAAGACTCAGAGGCAGGCTATGTCGTCCAGCACTGGAACCAATCGCTAACTCTTTGAATATCAAGTCAAGTGGTTTTCAAGTCAAGTGGCTTGCTTACTTTTAGTTGTTATACCAGAAAAAAAAAAAAAAAAAAAATCACATGCACACATTTTTTAAAATACTGGATTCATAATCTATTTGGAGAGTGATACATGAAAGATATCTGGGGACTGAAACAGGTGGCGAGAAAACCAGACTCCCACCTCCTCCAGCCCAGCTCGGGGCCAGCTGAGTCATCAATGCGTTACGAGCATCAGACTTGCAGTACACTCACAGCCAAAGCCAGGCACACGATATGAACTCTGCTGTACACACAAACAGATGTTCAATTAAAAGGCCTTAGTATAACCGGGGCCATGGAGGGTAAAACTTTTGGTTAGGAACTTCTAGTCTGTTGTAGGCTGGCTAAAACCAGAACAAGATCTGCTGTGTGAAGGGGAGAAAAAGAAAGGATTTTGAGCTGCAAAGGAGAGCAGCCAAAACTAGTGAAAGAGCAAAAATTATACCAACTCCATTCAGTCAGATTTCTGATTAGAAAGAAAAGGCTCTCCTAATTGGCTATCTATAAATACCGGTGGTTTCATATAAAAACTGAGAAGTAACGGGACACAGAGAACAGAAGAGACAGCACTGTAGGAACTGTCACTGGTGCCAGCGAGCTCTGAGTCGCTTCACAGGAACCCTGAGCAGTGCCTGCCCCGGCCTCCCCACCTCTCCCTGTGGCCCAGCCGACTTCTCTGTCCTAAGGCTCTCAGGTGGCTCCTCTGGTTCGGTGCTCCATGTGCTGCATCCCAACAAGCAGGGGTCCCAGTAAAACGCTGGCCATCCTTCCTCAGTTACCTTCTCTCTTTCCCTATACACACTCTCCTTGGACCGCCTAAGGTTTTAACCATCACCTAAATCCTACAGTCACTGTATCTTTAGCTCTGAGTCCTGAGCCCGCATCCATGTTTCCAACTGCCTCCTGGGCAGCGCCACCTGGAAATCCCATACACCGTCACCCTGCAAACAGAGCTCGGCATGCTCCCCAGCACTCCCCTTGCCTGTGGCCCCCGACTTCAGCTCATGGCACCAGCAGGCAGTTCTATGCCGGAGGCTGACCGTGCCGCCTCTCCTCTCACCAAGCCCCAATGACTCTTGCTCTGAAACACTGAACCTTCCCCTCCTTTCCATACTCCGGCCTCGTGGGTCCTCACCCTCTCTCCAGGTCACTGTGAGAGCTTCCTGACTCATGCCCTTCCCGCCTGCCCCCCTCAGCCATGACCTGGCCTGGCATCGAGTCAGCAGCTCACACCACAGACAGCCTTCAACTCTGCAGCTCTGCGTTACCTCTAGCTAAAGTCCCACACTTCAACAGTGAGGACACCGGATCCCTTACAACTTGGCCCCTGGCTAGCTTTTTAGCCAAGCCTCACACCTGCGTGCCCTGAATCTCTAGGTCACAAATCTCGAGTTACACTACTTTTCATTTCTTGAAAACACGTCAGTTGGCTCACACTCCTCGCTGGCCCGAGATTCCCTTCCAGTTTCCTACAGGTAAGCAGGCACAGACATGGCCTGCTCTGGAAGAGTCCCGAAGTGTGCCAGGTGAACCCACCCTCCTCAACTTGGTTCCCACAGCATCACCCCCACCTGTTCTTCCCTGTGCCCTAGTACACTCCTTTTCTTATCTGGTTTTCTCCTTTACTTTTGCATCCTCAGGACATAGCACATAATAGGAGCTCAACAAATGCTTGCTAAAATAATACATGGATCAGAAGGGAAGGCAAATCACAGACATGTGTGGCAGAGAAAAGAAAGAGAATCGGAAACCAGAAGTGGTAAAGGCAGGGATACCAGATTCTTGAGAAGAGAGCCGGTGAGCAAGACAGACCTGCTCTGTTCTAAGACAGGGAGCAGGGAAAGAAACTCCTGGTGCCTCTTTAGACACAGCAGCCATTGAAGATGAGTTTCTACTCTGTGTGTCTAAGTGACTGTCAAGGTGACCCAATAGGTGCCTGAACCGCCACCTGTCAAAGGCAGGCCCTTGCAATGCAGTCACAGCCAGTGAGTGCCCTGGGGTGCGGAGGCGAGACCTGCGTAGTCCACAGTAAGTGCAGTGAGGGAAGCTGGGCAGCCGGCTGGTATGTCAGTCCCATTAAGGAGATACAGAAATGGGTTATTACCCAATTTTAAATCAAAGAGATTGAGATAGCTATACCCTTGTTTATTCAGAAGTTCTCCTCCACAGTGGTGTTTCCCCTGATGAAGGCAGATGCCTGAGGGTTTACATAAGAAGAGTTTTGTTATGACCCACAAGCAAAAGCACGGGACCAGAGATCAGAGGAAGCGGCCCTTGCACCAGCTCTGTCTCACATAGTCCTGTGACCCTGCTCATTTCATCTCCACAGAACAGACACTGAGGCTCAAAGCAGTTTTACAACACCTGCGACCTGCCTGCCTTCCCTGCAGGATGGCTGAAGGGCTGAGAGAGAGTTCACGTGAGAGCATATGAAGATCGCAAAGCATGATGCAATGTCTTGAACAGCTTACTATTAATTTCACAATATCTCTACATTAACCAATTCTAGCTGGTGGTTACCTAATGTTTACTGATGCTACTTCTGCAATCCTGTTTCCATAGACAAAAGGTAATCTGACAAATACATATTTTTCACAAACTATATGACCTATGTAACTACTTTTCTGTAAAAGTTTTACAAAATAAACCTATGAAAGTGTTTAAACTACATTATAAATAAAAAATTGTTGTGTACGGATTCCACCTCAAGAAATGCAAGAATTTTGGTTATAAACACCAACTTACATTCCACAATGGGGAATTTTAAAGTAAGCCCTTAAAAATCAAATCATAAAAATACGTTTTGAGTGCACAGTTCTCAAAACTGTGAGACAGATTCTATTGTGATGTCCATTTTGCAGATGAAGAAACCAAGGCATAGACAGGTTAAGGAGGCCTCCAACGTCACACAAGCAGCAAGTGGTGGAGCAAGAATTCAAAATTAAGCAGTCTATCCATACAGCGAGTGCTTTCTGGCACTGGATTACTTTAACTATCATTGTCTCAAGTGCTTTTGTAAACAAGCCACTGTGCTCTTTCTGGAAAACTGGGACCTCCTCCATGCTCCCTTTTCTGTGCTGCCATAGCCTGCGTTTGCTTCTAAGAAGTTTCACTGTTAACTAGTAGGCTCCCTTACAGCCGAGGAGTTTTGTGAAAGCAGGTACCATGTATCCGAATCTTCCCAATGTCTAGTCCCCAGAGGGTTCTGAATCCAAGGGTAGTGTTTGTGTACAATTAACACCTTAATAATGGGCTAGGGAATGGATTTATAAGATACATTACAGCAACGCTAACAAAAGAACCAAGTTTCACGGGTGAAATATTTCAAAAGCTTTACCTTACTTCCTTCTCTCACCTCCTGGGAACT